AAAACGTAAACCAGCAAATAATCTCAGTTATTAGCCACGGAACTTTGATGAAACTTCAAGAGGGCAATTGCATCGACATAAAGAAATGATTTTTGGAACATGGACATTCAAGGACTGAGAGGAAAATTATGAAACGGGGAAAACTCGACATTGCCGCTCTTTAACGGCATCGAGTTGTAGAAGAATATATTCATATTTATTTGTAGTGCAATTCTTAAAAGCAATAGACAACTAATAAATAAATTATTCGATTGGGAACCTGTAAATGAAAGAATAAGGACTGCAAATTTTAATCCATTAAATAAGACGCCACAGTTCTAGATAAAGTTTTATGACCAACATGAAGATTTATTTATAAAAGACGGCGATCAACGACAATACATTCTTATGGGTGACTTTAACGATAGGGTTATTGGAAGGTATAGAGAACATGTCCTAAATAATAATGGACAAAGACTGATACATGCAAACATCCACAAATTTTAAATGGCTTAAACACAAACAAGGTGCAATAAAGACGCGACGCGACGTCCAGTCTCTAGAACACACACCATCCGAATTGGATGGAACCCCCCTCCCCGGAAGCCTTATTTCTGTTTCTTTTTAATTTATAATTCAATTATCTCGCTCCAAAAAAATTAGAGAAAAATAACTTTGAAAAACTGATAATGGTATATCAGACAAACAAATAAATTTTATTTTGTCATGATAAATGCATCCGTTTAAAAAAACTTAGACAATTGAAAGACATACAGTATGTTCCCGGATCGAGTTACAAAGAGGGAAAAATTTTTTATTATTGATTTTTTAAACTTATCTCAGCATAAATAATGCGTCGAATATGTTCAAACCACTAAATCGCACAAATTTTATACTCTAACTATAGAAGTTAACTAATTATTCTCATTTTTATGTAAAAATTGGACTTTTTTCTAAATTGAAAATTTTTCAAGTGCAATTTATGATATGTAACCATAAAAACCATAAAGAAGTAGAAAAAGAGACTAAACGAGGAAGACGCTGCTTCTCTAATAGCATTAAATTCCGTTTAAGAATCTCCAAAATTTACACTTCGAAGAAGTGTGTTACAAACTGAAATTAGTAAATCTCTAAAAACCTCTCCAGAATTTACAAAGAAAATAAAATTAAACCATTTAGACCACGATTTAGACAAACTTTGGATGCCGGCGATGATGCCAAGCGTTTGGATTTCTGTCTTGAGATTGGTAATGAAATATTAGATAACCGAAATTTTCATAAATTTATTGTATTTTCGGATGAAAGCATCTTTTCAACAAATGGCATTATTTCTCCCCAGATTGCCGTTATTGGAGTGATGTAAATCCAAATTTTACACCCACTAGACGAAGTGAACATTTCAAAAAAGTAAAAGTTGGTGTGTTATAACATATCACGGGGTAATTGGGCCATATTTGTTCGATGGAAATGTAAATCAACAGAAATATTTGCATATGTTACAAAATTATTTTAATGAACAACTTAATGAATTACCCTTAAATTTTATATTAATGCCCAGCTCACCATTCACACATTGTGACCGAATGGTTAAATTTATAATTTCGTCAAAAATGGATTGGACGAGATGGTTCTATTTTATGACCAGTACGTAGTCCTTATCTTACAACTATGGATTTTTATTTTTGGGGATGATTGCAACAAATTGTTGCAATCAACAAAGACGATGCAGAACTATTAAAAGTAAGAATAATAATTAATGCGATAGAATCACTACTACTGGCGGAAATTCGTAATTCTTACAAAGAATTTAGAAGTCGTCTTCAAATGTGTGCCGAATTATGAGGTGATTTGTTTGAATGAATAGTTGATTTGTTCACTTACAAATAAATAATATTTATTACTTACATAGTGTGTTATTACTTATTACATAAATTTACATTTAAAATATTTTATTCAATTATTTAGCCACATTTTAATTTGATTTGTCCGTATATTTTTCACTAACATAAGTAGTAACTTTTATGGTTTCTATGGTTACATATCATAAATTAAACTTGAAAAATTTTTAATTTTGATTAATGCACTCCAATAATATACAACCAATCAGAGTAACGATCGTTTAAAATTTCGACCANAAATATTCGTATAGGTACCCTTTAAATGTGATAAGAAACAAAGACGTATACAATCACAAGAACAAAAATTGGAGGATGTTAAATACAACTTGGACTTGAATATGAATTCCATCCACATGAAATGAAACAACAATCGAGTATCAGAGCCGGAAGGTTTTGTGTAAATGTTGGAGAAAAACCTGAGACCAGGAGACTTTGAGGATAGAAGAGGCTACGAACCGGAAGGCGTAAAACACTATAAACCCGGATATACTATATAAAAAAGAAAAGGGAATCTAACTCCTTAAATAATTATGCGCCATGTACATATAAATATTATAATAAAAGGGTGTAAAGTAAATCATAGATATGGAAAATGAGACTAGGAGTATGATTATGAATAACGAAAACATATCCTTAATAATTTTCTATTTCCTTAAAAAATGGATTTAATTTTAATGATGTTGTACTTTTACCTTAAAGTAAGAAGAAAAAGAAGACAGAATCCTAGATGTATGCGGGACACTCAACTCATACACAGATATTTTCATAAATCGAAATGAATTGGAGGCGACTCTAGAAGACTTGAATGAATTAGGAAGCGATAATGATAGTACGTGCCTATTAGAGTAAACTTTCCAAATCTCGGCTTGTGACGTAAAGCTGGACTGTTACCAACCACTCTAGTACTTCGTCTTGTTTCTATAAAACAGTTGGTAAAGGCCGACTTTAGGTCATGGGCCGAAATTTTACCATATATTTTGTCATAGCGGTATGGAGCGCCTAGAAAAAAAAATTAACCTGAAGTTATCACCCCAATAAGATGACGCTATCTGGTGCTTTTGAAATATAAATCCATAATAACCATAAAAACAGTGACGATGATCTTAACAGTTTTGACGATGATCTTAACAGTTTTGACGATGAAACGTAGGTAAGTGAAAAGACTTAAAATGGAATAAAAAGTTTGGTATAGATCTAATACTCATAACTTTAATGTTTTTCCTATTAATTTAATCTTTGGTATAGATTTTGGAAAAATGCATACGCCATTAATCATCACTGGTTCCAATTTGAGATCAAAAACCTGAAACGGTTTTTAGGAACGCTTTTGTTATTTGGTTATCATAGATTGCCTCAAAGTGATTTGTATTGGTCGAAAGACAAAGATATATGTAAAGGTTTGGATATTAATGGAAGATTAAAGGTTTGGAATTGTATGCGTCGAAATAGATTTTGAATTAAGCGTAATTTGCATTTATCTGTGAATAGAAATTTAGGTTAAAATTTTCCCTTTTCAACATAATATACGTTAAATATGTACAAGCAGTTTGAGATATTTGCTTATGACTTTTCGATCATTGAGCAAATGGTGCCTTATTTTAGAAGACATTCTTGTAAAACGTTTATAATAGGAATTTGAATAATAGAAATTTGAAAACCTGTGCGAATATTTATTTTAAAGCATTCGATATGGAAGGGAAAACATCAAAAAATAAACCCAAACTTGATTTAAGCGGCCAAGTTGTTGTTGGCTTGCAAAAAGTCGTAAAAAGTTCACCAACACACCGCATTTATTTTGACAACTTGTTCTCCTTCAATTTATTGAATTTTTTTAATGAACGACGGCTAAATATCGCTTAGAAAGCATGAAAATCATTTTGAAAAAGGAACGAGATTGATTTGTTGAAACTAAACTATTGTTTAATATATTTACCTAACACTCTGTATGATTTATATGATTTCAACAGATATCAACTATACATATTATAATACATATGTACCTCAAAATTACAAAGTTAATAACGTAAACTTAGTCCATTGTTAAAAATTACATTTCATTTAACTTGAATGGAAGATATGTTAAGCATATACTATAAAAACATTTAAAAGGCTAAGATTTTAGTTTCAGCTAGATCTAAGTTGGTAGTACTTATATACAGGTGTTCAGAAATTGGCGGATAAACTACACGTAGAGACATTCTACGACCGACTCTGAATCGAAAATCTTAATGTTAAAATGTTCTACTATGTTGCCAAATGTGTTTTTCATGAAGATATAATGAAAAAATGTGAAAAAATGTTAAAAAATGAACTTTAAAGCTAAAGAAAATAACTTTAACAAAAAAAACTAGTTTTCAAAATTCTTTTTATTCTAAATTACAGATTATTTATCAACAGATATTGAATATTAATGATTATTTATGGACAAATTATCCGAAGAATGTCGCTACGTGTAGATTATCCGAAAATTTCTGAACATCCTGTATATATGAAAGGTAAAGGCACATTTTATTCATATTATAGATATTATCAATAATTCAATTTACTTTGTAAAACTTGCAAAATAAAATGAACACATGATTTAGTAGTAACTGTTAAATCATACTTTAATTAGTGAATCATCATTATATTTTTGGTATTCCTACGATTTTTAATTGAATATAAAAAAATACATAAAAACTAATTTATAGAAATAATATGAATACTTACAACACAATAAATACTTACCTAAGTATGAATTATTTTTATTGACTAATTTTTGATTTATTACAGTAAAAAAAATACTGTATCAAGTTAAACTTATTGATCAATTTGCTAACTAGAACATCCTGTATAATATATAAAAATACAAACCCAAACAACTTCTCCATTCATTAATCATCTTACATTATTTTTTTTTACTTCAACGTTAACTTCTACATCACAAACTTTTATAATAATTAAATATATTAAATTTCTAACAATTTAAGTTAACAGAAATAGTGTGAGATAGATCTAAATATTTTTTTTTAAGAAATAAGGGGCCAAACTAATTGAGTACAGGGTTAAGAAGAAGTAAGGTTGTGAATAAACGTAAGAATCGGTGTTAAAAACGCAGCAGGGTTCTTGGTTGAAGTCACTTACCTCTCGATAAAAGCACAAATAGACCGATAAGTTGGTTAATAAAAAGAAATAACCTCCACTACAACTAAATAGCCCACATTTTTTGACAAGGCGAGGATGCCTTACATTTTCCTAGTTACTTTTTGCTTTCGTTGTTTTCTACGTTGGTAGGCCTGGAAAGTATGAAATTTAAACAATTTTAATTTAGTAAAATGTTGTGTATAATGAGTAGTATTAATTAAAATGTTTTTGAAAAGTTTAAAAGTTATTTTTTTTAATACAAAATGTTTTTAAATAATTGATTAAACGTTTTTGTAAAAATTAATTGTTTTTTGCAAGAACAATGTGCTTTTTTTTTAATCTTCGCATTACTTCCAGGAATTTTATATTTAGGTCTGGTGTTATCGATTAGTTTTTCCCCTTAGTTATCGCAAAATTCCTAAAAGTTGCGTTTGACTTATTAATGCACAGGGGTGTATTCAGGAAAGTTGTTATCATGAGAAAATTTAATAATGTATAATAAACTGTAATATTTTAAGATAGTAATAGAGTTGGTGTAATTTATTTAAACCGAGTTAAATAATAATGTTATTATAATAAGTTAAAGAAAAAGAAATTAAAAAATGTTTAAAGTATACATTTGAATGTATCCTAAAATCGTTTTCGAAACGCAAAAAAGGATTAAAAAGATTAAAAACAAAAATAATGTGAGTAAATAATTAATTGAGTCAATTTATGAACTTAAAATAATTTAAATAAACGATTAAAAAAAACGAAAATAAAAATTTCTGAACGTTCCCCAATATCTTCTTCAAAGTACAAAAAAGAGAGAAAGAAAAATCATAGACAAAGACAACATTAGTAAACTAAAATGGCGTCCAGTGTTTAGTACGTTCATAAGGCGTAGGTTGTCGGTTTGTTTCTAAAGAAAAGTCCATTTTTGGTACTACCATGTTATAAGTAACTAATAACTAGTTTTTTAAGACCAGTTCTTCGGATTTACATCACTATGTGGTACATTTCGACGGATATTCATCGTTATTAAGGTCAGTATATAAGGTAAAACGTGTATAGAAAACAATACGGTATGAAACGTAAACACAAAATAAATCATTAACAAAAAAATCAAATTAACATTTAAGTGGTATAAATAACATAATATGTGTATTTATATGCGATTTGGTTATATATTTTTTAATAGCTGAGTGAATAGAAATAGATTTTCCTTTCTATTGTATGGTTTCTCCCTGTGTCACCATTGCGGGGGAGTAAAACAGAATTAATTTTGTCTTGTGTGACAGTTACTATACAGGGCGGTTCATTTATGTGACCTAACTGGTAATATAACGCAATATTTAAAAAAGAACTAATTATTAATTCAATAAATCTATTTAGAATAAATTAAAAACATTTTTAGAAAAAAATTTACTAAAAGTTTTAGGTATGTATAATCTTGATTAGGGATATGGCACAATGGCTTCATATTATGGTACTTTTGAAAAGTATTTAAAAGATTTTTTTTCTTTACTTTTTGTCAGATAATTTATTCTAACTTCAATTTTTTGTGAATCTCTTTGTGGCTTGAATAGGTTTAAAGCACAATGGCACACACAATCAGTTGTGTTTAAATTAAGATAAGTATAAGGTTTTCTTTTGAAAATCTACAATCGGTTCAAGGTAGGCCAAAATAAAAAAATCTATTCTTAAAAAAGGATAGAAGGACTAGGCACAATCGACTATTTTGTCCCTCCAGTCGATCAGTAGTCAGCTGGCATTTCTTCACCTTCCATGTAAATTTATGTAAATTCGCCAACAGTAAAATTATAATTTTGTAGCTGAAAATTTTATAGATTTATTGATTAAAAACCGTTAACTAATCAATCAAAAATTCAAATGTGTTTAGTCAAATGGCCCTAAATGTTCTTTTTGAAATTTTCTTTAATTTAGTTATATTAAGGAAGGACATCATAAACAACTGTTTATCTTTATCCTTATATTTCAAAAAACTAACACTTTATTTCGGTGGGAAAATATTCACAACTTAAAAATTATAGTAGGTAGTATATTTTTTTTATACCGAAATAAACTTACTTGAGAATGAAGAACTTTTCGAACTGAATGATAAACACTTACTTGTATTAAACTGAACGTTATTTTACTATTTGGAGTTAATTAATAACATTTGAGAAATAATACTAGAGAAGAACATTACGAACGAAGTTTAACACGGCTCAGTTTTATAATACATGTTCGTCTTTTTCTTTTTAACAAAACCCGAAAATTCATGAACTTGTACACAAAAAAGAAACTCGTCTAGAGAGGGAACACAATACAAGAAAACTGAATATGAATTACAAAACATAAAAGAAAAAATAAACAAATCGGTTCTTTTAATAAAGATAGACTTAAGCCATAATAATAATACTCGTAATATTTATATGTGCATCCAAAATATACACTTTTTACACTCGTCATACAGAAAAAACTTACAAAGAGAAAAAAAAGAGAACAAAACACATAATACATAGTAAAATCACATTTAGATCATCATTTTATGATTTGATGTTGTCACGACCGACGCTGCAAAATCCCTTTCAAAAAATGCATATTCAAGAAACTCCGAATAAAAATAGAAACCTCTCAACAGCAGAAATTGCTTTATCAATGTTTAAAACTTGCTCACAGGTAAAAGTGTAACCGTTAAGGTAATTTATTGTCAAACTTGAGCGCAGTAAAATCTACACCTTTCTGTGACTTACCTTCCTTCAAACATCATAGTTGCATATGATGTTGATAAGTAAATGATCGTCAAATTATATGAATTGATGAACTGGGGTGCATCACCACTATACCAGTAAGGTTGAAATAACCCTGTTGATATCAGTTCCCATCACTGATATCCATTACTGAGAAATGAACTCAGGAAAAGATAACGTAATATCTAAAAACGTGGATTACATTGTTTTGTTTTTGTTCATTGTGAAGTTGATGTCCTATGAGTTTATTGTAGGTATCATACGCAACTGTCAGGTCCACAAAGGCCACGGATGTTTTGAGGCATTTTTTAAAGCTTGCTTCGTTGTTTGTGGTAAGGCTAAGCATCTGATCTGTGCAGCTTCGTTGTTTTCATTTATTGCAAATTCTTTTGAAAACTGGGAGTTGGTAAGTGCATTTTGCCGCGAAAAGCTCTGCACAATGATATTCTTCTATTTGGTTTGGTAACAAGGTTACTCTCGCCCAGCATTCTCAAAAGACCCCAAGTTTCTCAGGTTTAATTTATAAAATCCAGTGTTTGTCAATATTTTGAAGTAACTTATGGGGTATTGTTGAGTTCCCAGAGTCCATATCGGATTGATGTACATACAGGTTTTAGCTGTACACATTCATTATTCCATCCAGGAATGTCTTCTTTCCGGTATCCTCTAGGAATTTTCTTCTTAGCTGTTATCATAACTGCTTTCACGAACCTATTGTAGTTTTCGCTCACAGACGCTATCTATCTTATTATCTTGCCAAGCTTCTCAGAGAAATCCTGTGAAATCGCTTTCCTGACGTTCCACCTAGGTTGTGGCATGGACCGTATTATTGATATTTCGATACCGACCTCGTATATCACTGGATGGTGTTACCTATGCGAAAAGTCCTTCAGCACTTGTCTCGTTATTTGCAAGGACTGGTTGTTTAGGTTTTGTGTTACAAAGTAGAGGTCTGGTCTATTCTTTCTGTCAAATATAATGCTTAAATTATTTTGTTTTATCGTTTGATACTTCCAGAGGGAGTGGTGGCTATTGAAGTCTCCGATGGAAATAGTAGGGTGTGGGAAAAGCTGTAAAACTCCAAGCTGCCATTCTGCTTAGCGTAGCTTGTATATATTGCATTCTCTTATATCCTCAACCATCACTGTGACGGTTTGTATATTATGACTTATGGTAGTAGGCATTAAATGGACATTCTCTATGTAGCTGCGTATATAAGTAGCGCAGCCATAATTACGTTATGTTGCTTCTAAGATGTCATATCCTGATATCTCACCTCTAGCTCCAAATACAACACATTCTTGGAATAGAGGACGTTTGTAGGAAACTTATTCTGTGTATGCCTAGGTTTATCTAAACTTAACCATTAGCTACGTAACGTGTTTTTCAGTTACACTATCACCTACTGTCGGTCATAGTGACTGCTTATATATTATGATGTTGATTAAGCATGAAAACTTATTCCATTACGGAAATAAAACAACCTGTGTACTTTTAACATCTTTTGTTTATATTAAGTAATTTAAGTCAAATCAAGAACACAGATATGCTACCTTATGAAATAACTATTACTGTCAAGTTACAATTTTTTCAAACAAAATTGTTGTCTTCCACTAACTATACAATCATAGTAGCAATTTATCAATGATCATATATTTTTTTTAATTTCTTATAACAGTAATAAGTATAATCTTACATTATAATATTTGTTGGAAAATTGTAATGGACCAAATGTTATATATTTTGGCGACAGTCTAAACATAATTTCTGAGAACATTAATAATAATATTTATTTGTGCATTCAAAATATACACTTTTTACACTCGTCATATAGAAAAAACTTACAAAGATAAAAAAAAGAACAAATCATTTTATGATTTGATGTTGTCACGACCGACGCTACAAAATCCCTTTCAAAAAATTCATACTCAAGGAACTCCGAATAAGAATAGAAACCTCTCAACAGCAGAAATTACTTTATCAATGTTGCAAACTTGCTCACAGATAAAGGTGTAACCGTTAAAGGTAATTTATTGTCAAAGTTGAGCCCAGTAAAATCTACATTTTTCTGTGACTTAGAGAGTCTGCAAAATTTAGGTATTAGCTTATGATTATTATGGGTTCCGTAACTGTGTATATCTCTGTGGGCAGTATATTTATCTACATTGTTGTGTAAGTATAACAGACACTCTAATATAAATAGCGAGAGAAATGTTAGTATTTTCTGATCTATAAAGAATTCACGGCACTCGTCTCGATACTTCAGACAACATATGACACGAATGGCACGTTGCTGCAGCCGAAAAACCCTAGACCAACCCGAGCAGTTCCCCCAAGCCAACAGAGAATATGATAACAGTGATTGACGCAGCGCAAAGTAAACAGATCTCAACATCGGTCCCGACACATTGCCACCCAAAATCCGCAACACAAAAATGTTGCTGATCAGCCCTCCGCAAAGTGTACTTACATGCTACTCCCATTTTAATGTGGGGTCCAAGCGAACACCCAAAAAATCTATGAATTACTCACCTATCAGATCTGCCTGAACGCCTCTCAGTGTAAAGACAGCTTCAGCTGTTTTGTTGGAATTCAGATTTAGGCCGTTGCACGCAAACCACTCCTCAGCCTCAGAGCGCGACGACCGATTTACTGGAACAGCATCAATGAGGATTTTATGTCTGCTGATTAAAGTAGTGTCGTCAACATAGAATATGATTAAAGACTTAGATATTGAAGCAGACAAGTATTTATGTAAATGAGGAAAAGCAGAGGCCCCAACACTGACCCTTGTGGAACCCCAATAGAAATGCATTCTGATGTAGAATAGCTATCATTACAACAGACTATTTGTCTTCTGCCACTACGATTGAATCATCTTAATACTATTGTCACCAAAGTCATATCTACTTAGCTTTTTTATTAATAAATTATGGTTCACACACTCAAAGGACTTGCTGAGATCGCAAAACATAGTTGTCATATACTCGCCTCTCTCATAACAGTGTGTTGTCAAAATCCAACAGTTCAACATAGTGGTCTATTTATGCTATACATATATAAAATTATGGTTTGTTTTGAGCACTCATCCATACTCATATTGGCTAGTTTAGGTATTAATAACATACCAATATTGCGATTGACTTCATAGAAAAATTCAATTATTGATTTTCACAACTTAGAGTTTCTATTGATTAGTAAAACGGCGATTCTTCCAGCATCAAGCTAATATTCAACCGTGGTGCCTTAAGATGTGCCAAGACAGTAATGATAGCAGCTCATCGAAGTAG